TGTTTCCATTTAAGATTTCAAAGTTGACCTTCACGGTGTCCTTCAAGGTCACATGAAGGTCATTTCAACATAACCATATAATAGACCACTTGATATACTAAAACTTTTGTATTGAACATTTTTTTCCATAAGCATTATTTTCCATGATATTTGACCGTTGCCGAACTTTCTCCCATCACTGTATGTAATACTCTAATCTCTCCAGTATTCGAAAAATCTGAATATTGGATTCGGCAATGATAATTTAGCAATTCGTATGGTCATTCACGAATCCAAAATTTTTGATTTTTCTAATACTGGGAAGATTAGAGCATTACACATATATGCGTTCAGCTAGTACAACACGAATTATACGTGTCTATAGAACACACTTTTTGTGTATTATACCTACACATTTCTTATAAATTTACACGTTTCGTTGTGTGCTGTATATTTACACACCTAGAAATGTGTAAAAAGTGACTACAACGATTTACACACATAAAATATGTTAAAGTAATACACTTGTCTTTACAGTGCACATATTATAATACATATTATATAATACAAATATTAATAAATTATATTAATAAGTATTAAGGATGCAACGGATAATGATTTGTCGAATAACCGAATACTTATCCGGCAAACCGAATAATCGGATTTTATATCCGGAAATTGCACAGAGATTGAAAAATTAGAAACGTTTCGATATCGTTTAACCATGACTGTTAATCTTATTGTTTTTTTTTATTCTTTGTGAGATTTCTTTTAAGGAGTTGTGGAATCGGATAATAGTATTGTTGATTGATAGGACGTGTCACAGAGTCGCTACGTGGAGAAATGCTCCGTGCGAAAATTGGATAGCGAACGACAGCTCATTAAAAGCGCCTATCTTAGAAGATATAAGGGGTGTATTCCGAACCGGATTAGTTTAGCTCAGGGCTCGGCACGAAATGCACATTTCGGCCGATTTTCGAGTCGGCTCCGCCTCCCGCTATCCCCCTCACTGCACCACCCCGCGCGCAATCCAAATGTCGCTCAACGCTTAGGAATGTACTAAGGCGCTCGTAGACGTAAGGGGCATTCATTCGGGGCGCTCGACACGTTGTAATCTTTATTCTATCTTTTTTTTTTCACTTATTACATACGAAACTAATAGCGAATTCGGTTGAACGTACTAGTGCATATTAGTGTACATTAAAGCTATTATATACGCAGATTTAAAACGGAATTAAACCATGAAATCTACAATAGATGTTATTGTGCCGTTATGTAAAATCTGTATTTTATAATTTGAAATATTTGCATTTTACTTTTATACCTATTAAATCTGCGTATAACGGCTTTAATGTACACTAATGTGCACTAGTACGTTCAACTGAATTCGCTATTAATTTCGTATATAATGAGCGAAAAAAAAGATAGAATAAAGATTACAGCGTGTCGAGAGCCTCGAACGAATGCCCCTTACGTCTACGAGCGCCTTAGTACATTCCTAAGCGTCGAGCGGCATTTGGATTGCGCGCGGGGCGGTGCGGTGAGGGGGATAGCGGGAGGCGGAGCCGACTCGAAAATCGGCCGAAATGTACATTTCGTGCCGAGCCCTGGTTTAGCTTATTGTTTTTCCTAGATGTTGGCAGCTCCGTAACAAAACCGAAGTGTTCCGAACCTGTTACGTTTTACAAATTGCTCAACTATTGCCTGTAGGCAATGTTAGTAACAACAGAAAAAATGTATCATTTAGAAATTCGAGACCACAATGAAAAAATGTATAATTTTCTGATGACAAAAAACGTTTATGATTTAGCTCATAATGGTAAGTCCATATTAATATTAACGTAATATTGAAATCGACAAATTTTTGTCATTATTAAAATTTTCAGATGTATCATATGTAGAAAAATTTTTGATAGTGCAAAAGCAAAAATATCCTGCATTATTTCGAAACAAATCTGCAATAAATGACGAAACACACGATAAAAAAGTATTAAAGTTAACAGATGGGTCAAATACTATTGAACTTTATGTATCAAATAATATTTTTGAACGTGGTAACAATGGTGAAACTCAGAATGTGTGACAAATCCTTTTCGCGTGTTTTCTTACTTTTTCTATTATAAGTTTTTATTTCTATAGATCCACAGTTTGGTGTACAACTGTTCAATAAATACAGTAAAGAAATAATCAAACAAAAAGTCTCATTGCATAAGCACAAATGTTTCTGAAGATAGAGCTAATGAAAATAGACAGTTTGATAATAATGATGGAAGTGAAAATAATAAAAATATGGCTACGTGTAATATTACAGGTAATAAAATATATTATATATTGTAATATATATAACAACAAACGACCGTGGATCAAGTAACAATTAATTGTAACATAAAATGGCTTATTCCACGTACACCTAGTGAATTTGGTGAAAATACAAACTTTAATTCTTTTCGTTTACATAAATTCTAAGACAAACGTTTCGATCTGTCGTCAGATCATTATCAATGTCATAATCCTATTAATCACAACCCTATCCAATCGTTATACAATCGTTATACAAAGAATACAATTATCATATACAATTTTTGTTCTGCGAAGAATTATTATTATGTTAATCAATAAAAGCCGCTATGATTTCTACAATTGGAGTAACATTCCTTTGATGGCATAATCGTCAAGAGATGAAAAACTTTAATTATAAACGATGTTATAGCATATCAATTACACAGGCCTGCATGGTTTTGTTGATTGGGATTTAACTATGTTTTCTTACGTAATTTTTCGCGCTGAATCCGAATCCGGCTGCAGAATTGCTCTATCACGTCGAGATTTCGAGAAATCTTAACCCAAAACAGCCAAATAAGCCATTTTCGGCCATATTTGAAATTCAATTAAAAAT